CCAAAGCTTCTACAGACCTAACTGCTCATTATTTTTGACTAATTCTTTGATAGGCTCATTCAGGTTGACCAGAGGTATGTTCTGGCTACCTCTCCAGTTAGCGCATATTTTTTTTTTCAGATGCCAAAAATGGCCTCCAGAATAAAAACCTTCTCAAGGCTCCAGCTTTCACTGAAATTAGTCCATACCAAGGGAAGTGTAACACACCTACATAATGTAAAAGAATACACAAATACATTTGAGGTACAATAGATTCTTAGAAAGAACCAGAAAAATGAACCAACCTTCATTCTTTTTGCACTCAACTGTAGATGCTATAAAACCATATTATGAGCAGAAAACCTATTCTAGGGGTATATTTTATTCTAGGTGGTTTTTTAAAATTCAATTTATGGTCCTATTACAAGAGGTAATGAGGATCCACAGGAATATGCCATTTGAGATTTCAGGTAGATGCAGGCCATATGGAAACCAGCCACCTGGATTAATCCAGGGTTAAATGGTCAAAAACTACAGCCTGGGCTGGCGAATGAGGGAGTCAAGGCGCCTCAAACCTGCAACAGAAGAATATAGCGTGGAAGCCATAGTTGGCCATCATCGAAAGCATCATGGCATGCAATGGCTAGTGCGTTGGGAAGGGTATGGGCCCCAATTCGACACTTGGGAGCCTACAATCTCTCTAAAAAACGCACCTCTTGTGCTCAACAGGTACAAGATGGCCCACGGTTTGTAATTCCCCCAGGGCTGAGGGTTAGTCGCAGCTGGTACTGTTGAGTTTGGCGCCCTCAGCGTGGTCAGTAGTATTTATGATTAGTTAATTTTCTACATTCCAGCCAGACCAGTAGGCCATATTCATTTTTAGATATTTCTTTTTCTTTTTCTTTTCTTTTCTGATCTTTCCCTTTATCCTTTAGTTCCTTTTCTCTTGTTCTTCTTGCTTTCTTTCCTTTCCCCTCCTCGCCCCTCCTTTCTCGGAACTAGCCTGAGGCAAGGACATCCTGCCTAGGGCATTGTGTGAGGTCAGTCACCATCGATGGATTTCCATCCTTGGTGAACAATCATGGATCTCTTATTCCCAGATGGGCCAGACGACACTCCATCACTCGAATTCCAGACGATTGGTCAGACCGGCTGGGTAGCCTTCAATACTCCCACTTCCGCAATACCTATCAAGGCAATGGAGTATAAGAATCAGAGAGGGCATGATCATAGGTCGAAAGGGCCAACAGGTGTGTATTTAGATATGGAATGGGGACTCGATCTTGACTGGTATGATTGCAACGCTAGTTGGCATCCCTACATTCCTCTGAAACCCGAGGGCGCTGATAAATTAGTCATCAGTAAAACTGGTGTCAACTGGTTCTTTGACTTCGACATGTCCACACCATGGGAACAACTTGCCACTGGCGTATTCATCATCCCAACTGAAGTGTGCGAATTGATCGACAAGGACCTTTTGCACTTATCAGGATGTATTGAGGAAATCGCTACCAATCATCCATTCCCTCCTGACTCTGCCTGACCTCCCTACCACGACTTAGGCCTTCTCCTCCATGTGTTCAATTCTAACGAGGAGTTACAAGCTGTGGGATGTACGGCCAAGAGGACTGCAGTCGACTATCTTGGATTCTTGTCCTGGTGGACAGCCTCGATTTCAAGATGGGATGCCAAGTTAGATCAGCATATTGTCACCTACTTCACAGGCATTCAGTTGCACTGATTCCACAAAATGAGGAGTTCTTGTCAATCTAGAGCGAGACTGGCGTCACATTAACATTCCAAATTTCATTCAACACCGAGTCCCCTTCGCTTACCACTGGAGCCTGGCACTCACCACATCACCACACTTCCCAGTTCTGTCGCCGATGGTACTAAGGGTGTTCCTTCAACAACGAATGGAAACACAAGAGGATCTCCCTTGTCTGTCACTCAACAGTCTCGACGACCAAATGGAAGTCATATGGAAATTTGATCAGTTTTTCCAGGAAGTCTGTAGTGAGGGACACCCTGACCCAAATGTTGAGTTCGATGACAATTGGAAGTACTACGTCATGGACTTCCAAGGGTGGTCCCATCACAGAAGAGTACTATGTTCGCTTTGGTTCCAGTGTGGGTCATGAGATCGATAGTACTATAGTTCTATTCCACCGCTGGGAGCTCCTGGATAACTTCGCCACTTCAATGCAACCGACGGAGTCGATGGAGGTTGAAGGCAGTATCAGCATGGTACAAGGTTCTCTGGAGATTAGGGAACTCCATAGGTCGAAACATGCGCCTGGACACAATGCAGTTTACGACTGGGACGGGCATTCCAGCTTTCCATGGAACTCATCTCAGCTCCCTCACAGCCATACGCGCCATCACCATGGATGACGACAGGCCAACGCTTCCTTGGTCAGTCATTGATGGCTGACCCAAATGGCTAACGCGGGTAACCAGTCAGATGGGGGTAGCCAGTCAGAATTACATTCCACCCCTAGCTATTCATCAAGGGAGCAAGCATCTTGTTCAAGCTCCCATGCTGGCACCAGGAATCGGTCTGCGTCTCCAGGACCGCACAGCTATAGGTCTCGCAGAGGAACTTCTCCATCCCTTCGTTGGCAGACTGTAGAGAACCTCGTGGAAACGGGGGCGATCATCACATACATTGGATCAGTATGGGAGGCGCCTGTTGGGCTAGAATGGAACACTACCTTTTACCAGGAGAGCATCATTCTCTTCCCTGACACTCAGATGCTGACGCGATTAAAGTACTGGGCCATAACAGATGAGGGAATTTCACATGTGCGTCACCTCCTAGACCTCGCCATTGCTCGCAACATGTGTTTCACCATGGCCACAAGGATTGGCGACCTAAAGTCATTCAGGCCTGTCATGACTCCAGACTTAGCTGAGCTTACGAGAAGGACATATGAAGCAGGGTTTCAAGAGGAGCATCTGAAGGACTCCAATGGTGGTGCCGCTTTTCGAGACCAGTACATGGGCAAGCTGGTGGATATCCTTCACCGCCCTCACGCACGTGCGCTTATTAGCCTAGGGGGGCCAACGGCTTGGATCGCAAAATGCTACAGCGGTTCAGCATTAGTACAACGATTCATGGATGGACCGTCCACCCAAGTAACTGTGCATCACAGGGGAATGGTCACCTCGTACCCATTCTTCGACGACCCCTTGTTTCACGATCAGATGTCAGCGCAGGAAGAAAATCTTGTTCATGGATTTGTATCTGCAGAGAATTCCGACCATCATAGGTGGCTCTTCCCAATGATGGAGATCATGGAGGACTTCTGCGACCACTGGAGTGGGGAATGGACGGAGGGCTGTGATCTCATCTTCCATAACATAGCCAAAGCACTCGAACGTGGGACAGTGAAACCTTTAACACACAAAGGCTGGAAGTCGTATTTGCACAGTACAAACCACGGCACACATCGACCACCTGCAGTTCTCAACTCAACACATTTTGCAAAGGTGGATGACCTTTTGACGGCATTCCCTGACCCTTGGCATGGGAAGTGCATAGCCGACATCTCCATCCCTGCATGTTTCGATTCCTTAAGTGGGAATTAGGGGGGCTTTGTAACGGATGTCCTACCAGTGATAATCCCCACTTCACAAATTCCAGAGAGCATTCACTATGGGCGTACTTTTACTTTACTTTTATCATTACATGTGTGACACTCGCTCACATAAGCATGTGATTCAACTCGTATTACATACTTCTAGTCACACGGATGTAACATTACCTTTTTCTATCTTTCAAACCACCAATATGTATACTCTGTGTTAGGAATCACATCATATCGCATTCCCCCTGAAGTATAGTAAGTGCTTTGAGTTTAGTAAAGCCACTGAATACTCTCTTTGAGGTGTTCGGGAATCATACGAACATCATCTGCTCTCTCTCTCCCTCTTACTACTTTCTTGAGGATTTCCTGAGAAAGTGCAGAGATTGTGCAATGGATATCTGAAGCGTCAACAATCTCCACTATGTAACTGTGAGATTAGACCGTAACTGATGTTTGATCACACACCATTGTAATCCCTGTAACTCCGTGTCCACCAGATCACCTGTCATTGGTCTAGAAATCCCACTCCCTTTCCCTAGCTCACAGAACACCTATTACAGATGCCATGCAGGTGTTCCAATTATTTGGTTTGTGCAGAAACATGGCGCAAACAGTTTATTGAATTTGTCAACAGTTGCCACCTTCTTCTTGGCAGTGACTGCTATGACTAATAACTATGCAGTTTTCTTACCAGCTGGAACACAACACTGTCTCTGATGCTGTCCACTCTATGTGGTTTGCATCAATGGTCTTTAGCATTGCAACAGCTGTTAATAGCCTCCTGAGGCTCACATGGAAACAAGCAATGTAGTGAGTCCATTTTGCCACCCAGCCTGAATGAGATCTTTGGTTGCTTGCCAGGCCCATGTTAGCTGCTCACCAGGGGATCAGGTGCCCTGGTGGGTTTTGATTTGGATTAAATGATCTCCCCTCATGTTCCTTGTCCTGTCAGCTGCCTGTTTCTCCATTGGACTCTGCTGTTTTGCTTATGCTTCACATCAGGTAAGCATTACTGTTATACTGATTTTAACTCTTCTCAATCAACATTTGATGGCTTTGCAGTCCTTCATAACAGCTACTCTTGCAACTGTGCTTACTACCATTACCTCATTCAGCCTCACAGCTGTCTCTGCATGGTTTGCATCAGAACACTAGACATTCACTTGACATCGTGGCTAGAAATGGCTCAGTGATGTGCTTATTGAGAGCATAGAACAGTTTGTGCAGACCCCAGTGGTGGGCTGGATTCAAATGGTCATTAAATTTCTGAGTCACAACATTGAGAAGACCTGGGCAGTGCTCTTGTCACTCTACAAATGGCTCAGGAACATTTTCTCCTTGAGCAAATTAAACAACGAAGGCAACAATTTGGAAGCTAATGGTGTGCCTACTACTAGCAACAGCAGCCCTAATCATCTTCCCTCCCACTTGGAGCCATCAAACCCTATCAAACTTGGGATGTCTAGCATTTCCCTGCCAGAGTTGACAGAATCCCTGAAGCCCACCCACATCATACCACCATCTGCACCCCTAAACCCCCCCATAGAGAAAGACAGCCCCTCACCTGAAGCATCCCCAATTAGCCCCAGGAAGCAGTTGTGGCAAAAGGCCTTCCAAAACATGAAGATGCAGAATCACCTGTCTGCCTTAACATCTGCCTTGAGAGACACAGCTCAACCATACAGGTGAAGGACAACATCTTCTGGTTATCCTGGACCTTATGACAGGAAGAAGGCCATCATTGAGTCTGTCACTGCTCTCAAATCCTGGATATCAACATTGGTACCAAAGCTTGCAGCTCTAGAAGCTACTCAAGATTTGGCTGAACACAACACACTTGTGCATCACTTAGAGTTCTCTCCTGATGGGAGATTCTTAGCCTCCTCAAGGTGAGGTTCACTCAAGTGTTTGAGGATTATGATCAATAACTGATTGTTTTTCTTAAAGCTGGGATAAGACTTCAACATTCTTCTGAGTTGGTGTGCATTTTCTTTCAATCCATCTTTGCAGCAAGTATCTGATTCCAATCTGCCTGTCAGAACCCTTTTATCTCCCACTGTACCCTTGCACACCTGCAGGGCTTTGTCAGCCATTCATTTCATCGTGTTGACTTGGAATTATCTTACCTGCTTCAGGTCTCCAACATGAAACTCATTGTTGATGAAAATGGCACAAGGTATCAATGTATGGACTGAGGTAAGTTGACAAAGGCACTATAACAGATCTTGTCGACATTCTCACCTTTGAGCCATTGTATAACAGGATAGGGTCTGTGTGAAAACTATGGTGAGTTTTTCTCTGAGTTGTGTTTACAATGTGTTCTCAAGTAACCTTGACATCTAGAATACTAATAGCAAAGTTTGTCCATTTTTCAGCTCCAGGTCTGCATTTTCACTGACCTTCTCTACTTATGTCAGGTATTAGATAATTATGATTTTGGCCACATGAAAGTTCATGATGTTGCAATTATGCTGGATTCCCTTCAAGTGTTGGGCATGAGACAAAGGAAAGAAGTGAAAATGCTCAAATTTTTCTGAGTGTGTTATAGATATAATGCATTTCTATTTTTGCCCTACTGCCATCATTTATGCAAATGACCATAAAATGAAAAAGCATAGAAATACTATAAATTTAGTGCACATACAGGTTAAAATGCAAGGAATTGTCCCACATTGACCAGTTGTTCAACTTCCAGTAGCATTTTGATAGACTATCTATCAAGAAGATAGGCTGTACTCTATTCTGTTTCAACACACTGATTCATGGTTATCATTAAAGAGAGGTCTTTCTTTCCGTTGTACAGAACAATCCATTGAGAATTTTGATTTTATCAAGTCCACAATGCTGTAGGGTGGTATTCTCAGCAACCAGTACTTCACCTACCCCTCAATAAGAAGAAACTGAAACTGAGCAGCAGTGTATACATCACTCAATTATAGAGATGTTGGAGAAATCATAGGTATAGAGGATGTATCAACCACTAAGGGGAATGGAGATGGTGAATAAGAAGGAATAGAGCAGAAAACTACACATACAAAACTTGACATTTTGCACAAAAACAAGCCTATTAGGAGTTGGATAGTGTTATCTCCTTCTACACATTGAAGATGAATATCAGGTGAGAAGTGAAAGCAAGAAAGAAAGAAAGAAAGAAAGCTTACCCTCTAAAAATAGGATGAAAGATTCTAAGATGAAAAAAAGGAGTTGACTTGCCCACTATATCTAAAATAAGGGATCCAGTGAAATAATGCAGATAAATTCATACTTTCTAATAAAAGGAAGAGTTGAAAGTGGAAAGCTGGAAACAGATTGAAGACATACAAGCTACAAAACATGAGCATTCTTGTATAACAGGAAGTAAAAACATACAATCTGAGTCAAAAAAAGCATATATCAAAGAGATAGAAATGATAGTAAATAGGCAACCTACTGTCTAGAAGAAAGGAAAGCTGAGAAGTTATAAAATTGGTCTATTTGGTGCTGAAATTTTACTGACCTCCTTGAAAATTATTGATTGAGAATTAATTACCTGAGAAAGAACAATGATTGAATACATGTAGATTAAAAAATGAAGGCTAACAAATAAAACTTACAAGATATAAAGAAGAGACCACATACTTTCTATAAATGCAAGAAATGAGTGCAAGAAAGGGGTGAGTGGAATTGATTGGAATAAGAATATAGACAACACACTGACTGAAAAGGAAATGTCAACAATGGATTACTCGAAACATATACAGTGAAAAACAAACAACTTACATACTAAGAAAGATAATGTGTGACAAGAGTAACTCATGACCAAGAGGAAGGCAGCTCACCCCCTGAGGAGTAAGCACCAAAATATTGTTATCAGAATTAGTCACAATAAAAAGCAGGCTAACTCACATTCTGAAACAAAACAGGCCAGTGTCACCAGAAGAGTGCACATTGAAAACCAGCCAACTCACCCTCTAAAAGAAGACAGGCCAGTGTCACCAGAAGAGTGCACATCAAAGAACAGGCTAACTCACCTCCTGAAACAAGACAGGCCACAGTTTGTGTCACCAGAAGAGTGCACATTAAAAACCAGGCCAACTCACCCTCTGAAACAAGACAGGCCACAGTTTGTGTCACCAGAAGAGTGCACATCAAAAAACAGGCCAACTCACATACTGAAAGAAGACAGGCAAGTATCACCAGAAGAGTGCACATCAAAAAACAGGCCAACTCACATACTGAAACAAGACAGGCCAGTGTCACCAGAAGAGTGCACATCAAAAAACAGGCCAACTCACCCTCTGAAACAAGACAGGCCAGTGTCACCAGAAGAGTGCACATTAGAAACCAGGCCAACTCACCTCCTGAAACAAGACAGGCCACAGTTTGTGTCACCAGAAGAGTGCACATTGAAAACCAGGCCAACTCACCCTCTGAAACAAGACAGGCCAGTGTCACCAGAAGAGTGCACATCAAAAAACAGGCCAACTCACCTCCTGAAACAAGACAGGCCACAGTTTGTGTTACCAGAAGAGTGCACATTAAAAACCAGGCCAACTCACATACTGAAACAAGACAGGCCAGTGTCACCAGAAGAGTGCACATCAAAAAACAGGCCAACTCACCTCCTGAAACAAGACAGGCCACAGTTTGTGTCACCAGAAGAGTGCACATTAAAAACAGGCCAACTCACATCCTGAAAGAAGACAGGCACAGTTTGTGTCACCAGAAGAGTGCACATCAAAAAACAGGCCAACTCACATTCTGAAACAAGACAGGCCAGTTGTCACCAGAAGAGTGCACATTAGAAACCAGGCCAACTCACCCTCTGAAAGAAGACAGGCCAGTGTTACCAGAAGAGTGCACATCGAAAACCAGGCCAACTCACCCTCTGAAAGAAGACAGGTCAGTGTCACCAGAAGAGTGCACATTGAAAACCAGGCCAACTCACCCTCTGAAAGAAGACAGGCCAGTGTCACCAGAAGAGTGCACATCAAAAAACAGGCCAACTCACATTCTGAAACAAAACAGGCCAGTGTCACCAGAAGAGTGCACATTAAGAAACCAGGCCAACTCACCAGCTAAAAGAAGACAGGCCAGTGTCACCAGAAGAGTGCACATTGAAAACCAGGCCAACTCACATTCTGAAACAAGACAGGCCACATTTGTGTCACCAGAAGAGTGCACATTAGAAACCAGGCCAACTCACCCTCTGAAAGAAGACAGGCCAGTGTCACCAGAAGAGTGCACATTGAAAACCAGGCCAACTCACCCTCTGAAAGAAGACAGGTCAGTGTCACCAGAAGAGTGCACATTGAAAACCAGGCCAACTCACCCTCTGAAAGAAGACAGGCCAGTGTCACCAGAAGAGTGCACATCAAAAAACAGGCCAACTCACATTCTGAAACAAAACAGGCCAGTGTCACCAGAAGAGTGCACATTAGAAACCAGGCCAACTCACCAGCTAAAAGAAGACAGGCCAGTGTCACCAGAAGAGTGCACATTGAAAACCAGGCCAACTCACCCTCTGAAACAAGACAGGCCAGTGTTACCAGAAGAGTGCACATTAGAAACAACCAGGCCAACTCACTTTCTGTAAAATAATAGCCAGAGCATGTATCTTTAGAAGAGTGCAGAGTAAAAGAACTGCCAACCCACTGCCTAAAAAAATAATGGCAAGAGTATGTGTTTTAGAAGTGTGCAAAGTAAAATGCAAGAAAGCTTACTTTCTGAAATAAGTCAAAGCATATAATAACAATGAGTTACCAGACAAGATAATAGTCAATAGAAGAACAACTTACCGACTAAGAAATGATAGTTTCATATAAAAAATTGAGTTAGCTTAAAATTATTTCATAAATTTTACAATTACTTACCCACTGAAAAACATGTTAGAGAGGCATACAGAGACAATGTGAATAGAGTATGTATTACCCTCTGGATTTATAAACAAGAACATTAGTTATATAAGTAGTAGAATCAACAGTTCATACTTACTTCCTGAAACAAATGGACAGCTGATGATAAGATGTGCCATATTATGCAGAATAATTGCTCACAAACTAATAACAACCATTAGAATTTTTAAAGGTCAAACAATTTGTACACATACATTCTGCAAAAAAAAAACAAGAAAGCTCAAATTCTGTTTTTGTACAATGATTATTTTGTTTTTGCCCCCTGTGCTTTGTTAACAGCAATAAAATATTAACATCTCTTCA